GGCGTCAGCCTGCTCACAGCAACCTAAACTCCTGGGTCAACGAGACTCCTGCTTCAGGCCTCCCAAGTAGGCTGGCGAACTATAGGATGTGCCACCATGCCCGTAATTTTATTCTTATATTTTAGTTGGGCAATTATTGTTTAATATCATATTTTTAAATAAGACTGTACCACTCATGTACAGTTTTGAAAATTCTTCAGGAGTCATAAACATTAATTGATTGGTTGTTTAGGAGATTGATCTATACCTCTTTGTTATGAGATTACAACAAACTACGGCCATAGTAAATATGCTCAGAGATTCCTATCTTGCATAATTCTCATCAAATTGACAAAATCCTATATGTATTTCAGGTTTACTTCTTTAGATTTGTTTCAACTTTATTGTTTCGTGGTTTTGTTTGTTTTTTTGAGACAGAGTCTACTTATTGCCAGCTAGAGTGAGTGGCCGTGGGTCAGCTGCTCACAGCAACCTCAACTCCTGGCTCAAGCGATCCTCCTGCCTCAGCCTCCCGAGTAGCTGGACTACAGGCTGCACACATGCCAGCTATTTTTTCATATATATATTAGTTGCCAATTAATTTCTTTCTAATTTTATAGTAGAGACAGGGTCTCGCTCTTGCTCAGGCTGGTTTCGAACTCTTGACCTTCAGCAATCCGCCCGCTCGGCTCCCAGAGTGCTAGGATGACAGGTGTGAGCACCTTAGCTGTAGTATGATAGAGTCGAGATGCAGAAAGAACTCACTGGTCAGGATTTGAAGGCCGAAGTAAATAAGCTAATTCGATTTTTCTGCACCAATTTTGGGATGAGCTGCCAGGTTTAGCAACAGCTTCCAATTGATTAGCAAATATCACTTTGCCAAAAATGGATTAGCCAGTGATCGATTTACTAAAGATCAGTTTGTCAAATGATCAATTTGGTCAATGACTAAATTTATTTTATTATTTATTTTATTAATTTTTAAAATAAATCAATACGTTTATTAAGAAACAAAAAATAAATAAATATTTATTTATTTTATTAATTTATTTTCATCAAATTAAATGTATCAATAAACCAGAATTCTTAAGAATTACTTATAAAGTTTACAGCCATTTGTATTGAAGATTTCTGTGAAGGTTGAATGGAGTGATTTTCACTCTTCCTTCATAACACAATTTTATGGAAGTTTCAATTTTTCAAAAGTTGAGGCATAGAGGCTTAAACGTCCCATAAATATATTTAATGACTTTCAATGATTTCTTGAAATTTATCAATTTCAGCGTAAAGTTATATAATACATTTGCCAGTAATGTGAAAATTCTGTGGAAGGATTCAAGCTAATCACGTTAATATGAAAGGCTAAATTTTTCTCACCAATAGAAATACAAAATTAAGGTTTATATTCCCAGGCATCACTGTAAAAAAATGGCAAAGATGTCCAAATATTGAAATAATTTAAAACAACATTCCAAAGGAATCAGAAAAACTCAAATGCGGCTAGAGAAATTCTATCATCCTAGAATGTTTTTGTCTATTTGGGTCACTTGCTTTATTGCCAGCAAGCACCTAGAACAACAGTAGGAGCTCAATAAATATCTGTGGAATGCAGTGATAAAATTGGTCATTTGGTGAATCTTAGCTGGGTGGCTCTCAGAAAATTGATTTTTGGCATTTTTAACCTGCTGTACTTTGCAAAAGCAAAATTACTTAGGGGTTTTTGCTGACCGTGTTCTGAGGGTATGCTGGGGCTTGCAAGAAAGTGAAGGAAATTTTAAGCTGTGTGACCAGATAAACATGTTTGAGGAGAAATGCTGTGTGGCATTTAGAAGCATTTAGAAGATTCCATCCAGCTACCCACCCACCACGCACACTTTTTAAAATGTATATATTTCGGCCCTAATCACACAAAATGGCAAGTGATTAAGATTATAGAGTGAGCTATGTTTTTTTCCCCTAGTACGCTGCTGACCGGGCGACCTGCGGCCAGTCCCCCCTTACCTGCCCTTGCTTAGTCCCAAACCACCGCTGTCTTGTCACATTATTTGCACAAACCTGTCGTGTGGTGGGTCAAGACACGCATACTGCTCAAAAGGACTCCGTGCTTCATGATATCAAGCCAATCCATGGCGAAAAACTCTAACAGGTTGCAGAGCTAAGCAGCAGCCTGAGACTAACTTTGATTAAGTGCTGGTGGAATCTCTTGTCATTCAAGAGAAATTCTAAAGCCTCTAAATCGATTCACCCTTGTGTATTTTCCATCACCTTAGTGGACCTGAAGATCCAGCAGCGCTTAAAGAAAATGCAAATTGGATTTGTGGGGCAAAATATTTTTACATCGAAAATTTTATTACAAACATTATAAACAAAGAGAATGCCAACCGCACAAAAGTTTTACTGTACACCACCATCACGCAGAACTTTGCGAGTCTTTCTAACATCGACAAGCTCCAAGGAACAGGCTTTCCAGGATTTCAACTTAAAATCTCAGCATTTTAAATTGCACCCCATCTCCCATGCGTCCATCCAACTGTTGGTTTATTTCTGAAAAGCCCCATTGAAGAAATAAAAATCCACAGATTGAAAGAAATGAAAACTCCAAAGATATGATCTGCAAGTGCTTTTTTATGACTGCTCTATATTTCCCATCTCAAAAATCAACATCATCAGAAGTAACCACCAATGAAGTCCAATGACCAGGCTAGACCAGGCAAGACAGAATGATAGAAGGCACATTGCTTTTAGTCTCTGCACGTTTCTTTGGCACTCATTTTTAGTCGATTGATGCCAATTGGAGTCGAGGAGGCAGAGTTTTTCCACAGGGCCTTGAGACATCCACTAAGAGCCCTAGACTTATTTGTTATTTCACAAATTCCGAAATCAACTTCTGGAGTTAAACCTGGAATCTGCTACTTACAACACATATACTTTGGCAAAAATGTAACCTGTCAGGCCGGGCGGTGGCTCACGCCTGTAATCCAGCACTTTGGGAGCCAAGGCGGGCGGATTGCTCAAGGATCAGGTAGTTGGAACCAGCTTGAGCGAGACCCGTCTCTACCAAAAATAGAGAATAAATTATTGACCAACTTAAAATATTATACAAACAAAAAAAATTACCGTGCAATGGTGGTGCATGCCTGTATTCCCCAAGCTACTCGGAGGCTGAGGCAGGAGGATCGCTGAGCCCCGAGATTGAGGTTGCTGTGAGCCAGGCCGACGCCATGGCACTCACCTAGCCGGCAACAAAGGAGACTCGCTCAAAAAAAAAAAAAAAATGTTAACCTGTCTATACTCCAGTTCCTTCATTGTAAATGGTGTACTATAGTCGCCAGCTCAAGATGTTGTGAGAATAGCATTAGAAACGAAGCAGAACTGCTGCTTACTCCTGCAGTAGCTCTTAATTAATTATCTAGATATTGTTATTAGTATGTATGATCCAAAATCGATGGGCAATACTATGAAGTGCGTTGGCACATGAGGTAAAAGCCATTGGAAACGAGATGGGGTCTCCTTTGACAGACTGTTAGAGCCCATGCAATAGTACGAGGTTTTCGAGTCTTGCCTGCATCCACTTGGCAGTTCTGGAGGAAATGACCTTCACCAAACCCCTGGCACTTCAGGGACACCTAACTCACAGGCGCCAACCGCCTGGTAGCAGAGAGCGGCCGCCATATGCACCACAGATGGCTCTCTCAAGCTCCCTCCTTTGGGAAGCAAGGCCAGGGCCCTCAGTTTTTGAGCTGTGGCTCCTGCAGGTTTTGTGTCCCCAAGGAGCCCTAGGAAGCTGCTCAGCCACCTGACTCCATCATCAGTTGCCTTCGAATCCCAGCATAACGAGGACTGCAACTGACTGGTTCCCGTGATGACTCCAGTATTTAGAGCCACGAGAAGCACACCCTATCCTCCATTATATGCTAACGTCAATGATCTGTGTAGGGATCCCTGTTAATTGTCCGCTTAGGAAACAGCCCCCTCCTTCCTCAGATTCCCCTAAGCTGCTCCTTATCTCTAAAGCCTGATGATCCTTACAGCCATATTGGCCTGTTCCACCTGACCCCTGGAAGCCTCCTGGGTCAATCGAGCCCGCACAGATCCCACCCGAACGGGAGCGCTGGGGGGCCAAAGCCAAGGGGGAAGATCCCTCCCTCGCTTCTGTCCCCATAAACTGTCAAAGTGCGCAGCGGCGGCCAGCGGACCCACACTCATGCCTCCCCCAAGGTGACCAGCACCTCCCGTGACAAACCTTCGTGCAACGGGGGAGCTTGAGTGTGCAAATCCCAGGGCATCAGGGACACCGTTGCCCAAAGTCAAAGTGGAGTCTTTGCTCTCTCCTGGGTGCCGTGGAAGGACTGGGTGACCAGAGACACTTGCATGCAACAGACTGCCTTTGGCGTTTCCAACTGCCAAAGCAGCTAAACCCTTCCCAGGCAGGAGGACACAAGTCAATGCTGCCTTCTTTGGGCCATCCTGGCAAGGGAGTCCCCAGGGGGGCCAGCTTGCCCTGCCACTTTCCTCAAGGCTTGGGACCAGCTTGGCAGGCACGAAAACCCTTCCCTTGGGTTGCAATTCGGTTGAAGGCCTTGCTTGGGAAATTCTTGCAGGGAGGCTGCACGGTGCAGAACAGCAGGAAATGTCCTCTGGTGAAGAGTCCAGGGCCAGCCGAGGGGCAGCGCTGTCGCCTCCCAGCCTGTGACTCACGGGCCTACTTCCCGCTCACCCGCCGGCCACGTCCACCCGGCCACCGTGTCTCAGCTCCTCTTCCTGTCTCCAGCCCGCCCCAGCCTGGACAAAGCAGAGGTCTGCAGTCCACGGCCAGCCGAACAGTTGTGTAATATATCGGGCATCATCTGGGAAGCAGCTATTTTGAAAACAGAAAATAACTTCCCTGCCCTCAGAAGAACTCGGTGAGCTCTAGAAGTGCCTGCTTCCCCATTGGACCGAACTTGGTTATCAGTTCTCGAAAAGACAGAGGGAGAGGTGGTGCATTCTTTTCATCGGTTCGAATGAAAGGTTAGCATTTGTGTGTGCAGGCACTGTACTAGTGCTTTATATCCAGTATTAATCCTGATAGCAACGTTATGAGATGCATGAATATATTACTCCGTTTATGAATGAGGACATTCAGGCTCAGAGAGGTTGAGTACTCGCACATGATCACACAGCTACTAAGGATAGAGCCAGGATCAGAACACAGGTCTGTCTCCCTTGGGAGCCCAGCTTCTTGGTGTCCAATTATGCTGGTCTGAAAGGAACTTTGAAGCCACCTGAAACCAACCACAGTCTGATTTCCTTAATACCTTACACTTCTAACTCCCCTCCAGCAAATTATACAACAGTCTCCCACTTGCTCCTGGAAGGTAATCATAGAAGCACAAAGAAAAAGGCATGCGATTGGGAATCAGATGAGCCAGGATTTGGCACTCTCATGGTTTTTATCCATTGATCTCACTTTGGGAAGACAAAAAAAAAAAAAAAAACAATAACTTTCCTTGGAATCCTCTTCGTATAAGAAAAAAAGCCTTGCCCTCTTAAATCAATCATCTCCAGGCTATTTCCAGTTTCCCAACCATTCCTTAGGTAAGACCATCTTGATCAGCCCCCACTAGGTGTGCTGCAGCTTGTCAAGTTCCCTGTTAAACATGGGCACAAGGATTGAGTGCCAGAATCCGAGTGGGTCTCACCAGCTTGGGGACAACAGGACCGTTCCCTCCTTTG